CTAGCTTTCTCCCCTATTCCCACTTTCAACATTCTCCATTTCCTCTACGTGTCCTTCTATCATTTCAACCCTGCCTCTCATTTCTTCTGTGCCCCCAGTCCCAGATTTGTTCCTAGACGTGGTTATCAATGCTCATATTTTCTTTCCGTTATTATGCCTCATTTTTATCTCTTGCAAGTATTTGAGCTCTCCTCCAGAGACAGCTTCATCTCTAGGTTCCTTTCGAGGAATTCTTAGTGAATCTATAGTTTTTAATTTTTTAAGTTCCCACTAGGACTGGAGTGATAGCACAGTGGTAGGGCGTTTGCTTTGCGCGCAGCCAGCCTGGTCAAGCCGGGTTCGATTCCTTCCCTCCTCTCAGAGAGCCTGGCAAGCTACTGAGAGTATTCAATATGCCAAACACAGTAACAAGAAGTCTCACAATGGAGACGTTACTGGGCCCGCTGAAGCAAATCGATGAACAACAGGAGGACAGGTACAGGTACAAGTTCCTACTAGTTCCATCTGGTTGCCGAGTATGGCTAAGGGTGTTCAAAGTTCTTCCTAGTTTGCTTAGTGTGCCGTTTCTTTCTGCCACTATCTGGTTTGCTAGATCCACCTTTTCCCATTCATGTGGCTGAAAAAAGAAATATGTACCTGTGCCTTATGAATAGATGGATGCTGTGTGAGAAAAATAAAGAACTCGAGTAGACATCTTCCTAGGGATACAGAGCTATACTTTACAGGCAGAAATATAGTTAACAGAGGAAACATAACACACACATGTGTCAATGCTACATTCAGGTTTTTTTTTATAAAAAATGAGGGTCATGGGTATTTGGAAAAAGGTATTTCTGGTGAAAGGTGCTACTGGAGAGAAATGAAAAACTATGCCTGCTTTTTGTGGGAAGTAAGAGAAAAAATTGTCATTTAAGCGTGAAGATAGATTAGAGCAGTGAACTTCAACCTGCAGTGTGTGTATTGAAACGAAAAAAAGATTGCCCATTATTTTTTAAAAATTGCTTCTATTGTATTTTCTTATCACAAAATAAACATATTTGGATGCTGGGAACATTAGAAGATGCCAATCATCAGAAATAAAAAAGGGAAAGCAGGGAAAATACCTATTTGTCCAATACCCAAACATTTGACAAATCTTTGTAAATACTTTCTCATTTTTCCATTATTTTCACTGAGTATCTGTACCTATCCACGTTGTAAAATAGTCTACTCTAATATCATCTACATGCTCTTGTAATCTATCATTGTGTGATTCTCTATCCAAGTTTATGAACAGATCTGACATCCTCTCTGCGTGGATCTCTGTCCTCCTTCCACACTACAGGCTTCATCCCTATCAAATGTTTGGGCAGTCTGCTTGCTTATTAGACACCACCATTTGCTGTGCATGTTTGATTGTTTTGTTTGTTGCGGGGAAGGGCACAGGCAGACCCGGTGATGTTCAGTGCTTACTCCTGGTTCTGTGCCCAAGGATCCAAAGATCACTTTCTGGCAGTGCCTAGGAGACTGTGTGGTGGTGCTGGTGGTTCAAACCTGTGTCAGCAACATACAAGAGAAGTTCCTTACTCACTGTGCCAACTCTCCGGCCTCTGCTGCGTGTTTTTCAAATTGCTTCTTATTATTGTCACTTAGGTACCATACTGACTGGTATTAAATGTTTATGATCTTGCTATATTTAATTAGCACTCCTCACCACCACCAAAGTTCCCAAGACCTCCAGAGTCATTTCTACTTCACTCCTCTCCCCTCCACAATTTGTAATCCTCTGTTTTATAACCCAGGGTCAATGGTTTGTTGTCATTTGTTGTCAATTTATTCGCACATTTTGTTTCTCTACATTTCACACATAAGTGAGGTCATTCATTTTGCTCTCTGTGTTCCATTGTGAATAGTATTCTTACGTGTTCATTCTTTAGTACTTCTATATAACTTTGCTGGAAAATTCAGTGCCAAATAAGGGGAAATCATATGTACCCATCATGACAGTGACTCTATGAACCTGTAATATTCCATGGAACCAATTTAAGAACAGTATGGAGCCTAATCTTCTGGTCCTGAGGTTAATTTAGTTCATGGTGATAATATTGTTATACTCACTAGGTTTTCTTCAAGAATAATAAGCTATAATTAATTGTGAAATCTAAATTAACTGAACTGTTACTCTATTTCAATTAGCCAGTTGAATAAAACAAAATACTATGAGTATGTCAACTAATAACAGCAGCTATGAGTATGCCAACTCAGCATCAGCTATTGAGTGTATATTAATTCATTTCTCAGACTAACAATTTGGTGTGGTTGCACTACAATCCTGTTTTTCAGAATAACTAAACAGAGGGATGGCAATTAACCTGAGACTAAACAGCAAGAAGAATCAAGTTGGGAGAAGAACACAGATTGCGTGTCTGGAGCTGCACTCACTCCGAGCTACTCTCATTACTATTGGGATGCCTGGATAGAAATGCTTTTCTAGTTATTTCCAATTAGGTCATCCAATTACCAGAAAGTATTTTTAAGGAAGATTATTTCCATTTCAGAAAATTGTCCACACTGAAGGCAATTCCCAAGTAAAATTTAATGCACATCATGGAGCTAAAACTACTCTTTTAGAAATGCACTTGCTTGTCTTTCTCAGAATGAAATAACTCAACCATAATTTAGAGTTTGGTGCTTGAGAAGCTTTGGGATTAATTTATAAAATATAATCAATAAAGACCATTAAGTTACAGTGTAGTTATTCAAAACTCAATATAATCTACAAAGGCCTTTTTGGAAAATTCAAATTTTGAGGATGCAGAGTGATTATTACATTTGAAATGTGTAGCTGTTGGAGTCCTTCTCAGGACCCTTGCATTATTTTTGAGAACAAAGAATTTCTCTCTCTCTTTTTGGAAGCAGATCAGAAAAGTGGTTGAAAAAGAGGAAACTTGAATAAAAATAAAAACCCTTGGACTGTGACCATACCTGTCATTTCCACCAGAGTACAATATGAAAATGGTGAAAGGGTGGAAGGAGTTCAGTGAATAGTGTTAGGGATGATATTGGGAAAAGAGAAAGAGAGAGAGAGGGAGACAGAGGGGGGGGGGGCGGAGGGAGGGAGAGAGAGAGAGAGAAAGAGGGCACTTGAATCAAAGGCCACTAGATATGCAATTCTGGGCTAATTATTTTTTCTCCTCCCTCCCGTCCCTCTGTTGATATTCTATCAACTTCAATGCTCAACATAGGTTACACTTATTTAGTTGAGGTCCTTGTGCATATGTTGGTTGTGTTCTTTGCCCAAGTTTGTTCTAGGTGTGTTCCTTGCTGTGGTGCTTACACTTGGGCTTGCTGGGGGGTTCCGTTCCTAGCCTCAGTATTCTCACATCATTGTTTACTCATGTTGGTGCTCAGTTCATGTGCCAAAGAATTGGAGATCTGGCTCAGGCTCTTATGATTTCAAGACAGATGATAAGCCACTGAGCTTCTCCCAAATATTTAATTCCCTTTCTCTCTGTAAAATGGATCATAACATATCCTCATTCCATAGAATTGTTTGAAAATTGAGAAATGCATATAAGGCACAGTTGTTTATACATACTTATGAATAAACATTAGCTAGTATAATTATTATTAATAATACTTATGGTCCTTTCACACTAGCTGTAAAGTTGCAATAAACATCATTATTTTCTGTTGGTCAAAGTACTACTTCTGATGAGTAGATATTTCCACAAAAAGGATATACAGATGGCAGATATGCACATAAAAATGTGTCTATCATCACTTATTATCTGGGAAACCATCAAAATGACAATGAGGTATCACCTCGCACCAGTGAGAATGGTCTATACCAGAGAAATTGAAAACAACCAGTGTTGGTAGGGATGTGTCCAAAAAAGGACCCTTCATTTACTGTTGGTGGGAATTTCATATGGTCCATCCTGTATGGAGACAATATAGAGATTTCTCAAATAAATAAGAGAAGAGCTCCCATATGATTTATTTATTCTGCTTCTTGGTATATATTCTCAAAATGCAAAAAAATTAATTTGAAAATATATATGTGCACATCTTTGTTCATTTGTACTTAATACAATAGTTATGATAGTGGAAAAGCCCAAATATGCAGGAGTGAAAGAGTGGATACAGAATTGTGATCTGAGTGTGTCTCCAGGAGTAAACTGATCCCAGAGCCAGGAGTAAGTCATGAGTATCCCAGTTCTAGCCCAAGTTTCCTTCCTAATTTTGTTAAAATAAAAGTTATATATATATGTATATATAACTGTGTGCACAATTAGGTACTATAAAATCATAAGGGAAAAATGAAATCATCTACTTTGTGGTAACTTAGATAGAATTGGAGAGTATTGCGTAGACAAAATAAGTCAGAGGGAAGAGGACAAATACCAGCTAATCGAATTCATCTGTCATATATAGAGAAACAAAGCAAGAGCATATATAATATCAATTGATAATAAACTGAATTTCAGACCCAAGGATATCAGGCTGAGGGGGATGAGTAGGAGGTAGATTGAGGGGACAGAAGAAACACAAAGGCTTTGGTTGAGCATCTTGGGAACTTGGTGGCGGTCAAGTGAGGTAGTTACATGCACCAAATCCATACCTGTCAATCATCAAACAGTAGGGGAGGAAGTGGAAATGAAGGTTGGACCAAAGGTGACATAAGGACAGTGGTGGAAGGCCATGGGCACTTTAAGATGGTGGTTTACATACACCAAGACGAGAAACTTAAACACTATTGTGCCCATGGTACCTACATGATAATTTTAAAAATCAGCAATGAAAGAAATACACACACTCGGACTGTGGCCATCCCACTGCCCTGCTGAATCCGGGCTCCCAGTGAAGTTTCTCCCTTCCCCAGCTTCCTCCTCCAAGTCCTACAAATCCTTGACTTTATGCCATAGTTTCCCAACAGTGAATCTAAAAGATATAGGCAAAATTTCTGAAAATAGGCTCTGGCCCATGGCTGATAGTTATGAATGACTTTTATTTTGCAGGTCAGCTTCATGAGGCTACGGAGCATTACGAAGCATTCCATCAATTGACACAAGGGCGGATGTGGAAGGATGAGACAGGCCGCTCTCTCAACTTGTTGGCCTGTGAGAGTCTCCTGAGGACTCTCCGATTACTCGCCGACAAAATGCTGGAAAATAAAGAATACAAACAGGCCATCAAAATTCTAATAAAAGCTTCTGAAATCGCCAAAGAAGGTGGGTGGAAAAGAGCCTCTCACATCGCTTCCTTTAATGGGCCGACAGGCTTCTCCCAGGAGTGAAGTAAAAGTCCTCAAGTGTTTCGCTGATTATTTCCTATGAAATGCAAAGACAAATGCCATCAATATACTTTCAAATTTCCCTGTAAAACCGAGGGGCCTTAGTGCTGACAACAAGAAATCCATTAGTTTCTTGAAAGCTTTATCTCCAAAATTACAACCCTCTGGGAGCAGAGCTATAAACAATGGGCATACAATGAGAAGGTAAGGTTATTTGCAAAAGTTGTAGGTGTGCATGGTGTGTGTGTGTGTGTGTGTGTGTGTGTGTGTGTGTGTGTGTATTTGTGAGTAGGTAGGTTTTATCTGTTGAAAATCCTATATTTTTTCCAAGCTGAAACCTCTTTCATTGTTTGTAAATTCCCTATTGTCAGGTGATAGGGAAGGTACCATAAATATTTACTTAGGAGTGACAGGAAAATAGAACCTCAATTTATTTCTTGCCTGTCAAAGTGTAGCCTTTGGATTGGCAGCACCAGCATCACCAGGAAACTCTTAGGCAAAGCAGCACCTCAACTCTGCCCTGTATCCCTCCCCCCACTCATCTCCCAGGGCCAATTACAAACAAATCTGCACCTTAGCCAGGCTCCACAGGCAGGGTCGCACTCAAGTGGCAAAAGGAGCCGATCATAGACTTAAAATTTTACATCATTTGCATATAAATACATATGAATGGGAGCATTTATTAATCAGCTTTTACTTTGTGCAGCGCAAGGCTATTTTATCACATATCATTTTTATTGGCATAGTAGCCTTCTCATGAAGATGAGGTGAACAAGATAGCAGTTTATTACTGTGTGCGTGTATTTGATGGGATTGGTCCATTGAGTAACAAAAAAACTGCATTTAAGCAGGACTAATTTTCTGGGTCCTTTTAATTTTCTAAGGAGTGAAAGTAAGCATCTTTGTTTATAAACTCTTCCAGTAATATTAATTGGAATACCTATAAGAAATCACCCCGATTACAAATGTATAGCTGATGGAATGAGCTTTTGAATGACCACTGCACCACATAAGCACTTCCAGGAGTGATCCCTGAGCACAGAGGCAGAAGTAAGCCCTGAGCACTGTTGGTACCCAAAAAATAGACAAAGAGAAGAAATCTGAGTCTCTTAGCATTGTTTTTTTTAAGATTACATTGACTATCACCCTTTCTTCATTTCCAACATAAATTTTAGGATTAGTTTGTCCACTTATGCAAAACTAGGGAAGCTTGATCGAACTGAAAATTATTGTTTTCTTAAAATCAACTCATTCAATTTGTGAATATTGACGCATTTATTTACATATGATTGAATTGTTTTTACTGATTTTTTTCTTTTTTTTATTAGTGAAACACAATGAGGTACAGTTGTAGACTTACAATTTTTTGTGCTTGGGTTTCAGTTATACAATGATCGAGTATACCCATCCCTCCACCAGTGCCCATTCTCCACCTCCAGTGCTCCCAGTATCCCTCCCACCCCCACCCCCCATCCCACCCCACCCCTGTGGCAGAGCATTCCCTTTTGTTTTCTCTCTCCTTTTGGGTGCTGTGGCTTGCAAAAGAGGCATTGAGTGGCAATCATATTTGGTCTGTAGTCTACTTTCAGCACGCTTCTCCCATCCTGGGAGGATCCTCCCAACACCCATTATTTGGTTCCCTTTTCTATCTGATCTGCCTTTCCCCCTAGCATGTGCTGGCCTCCAGGACATGGAGTGAACCTCCTCGTACTTATCTCAGCTATTCTTGAGTATTAGTCTCCTATTTTGTTACTTTATATTCCCCAGATGAATGCAATCTTTCTATGTCTGTCCCTCTCTTTCTGACTCATTTCACTTAGCATGATACTTTCCATGTAGTACAACTTATATGTACATTTCATGACTTCATCTTTTCTAACAGCTGCATAGTACTCCATTGTATAGATGTACCAAAGTTTCTTTAACCAGTCATCTGTTCTCGGGCACTCAGGCTTTTTCCAGATTTTGGCTATTGTGAATAGTTCAGCAATGAGCATAGAAGTACAAGTTTCTTTTCAACTGTACTTTTATGCCTCTCTGGGATATATTCCCAGAAGTGGTATAGCTGGGTCAAATGGGAGCTCAATTTCTAATTTTTTGAAAATCGTCCATACTGTGTTCCAAAAGGGCTGAACCAGTCGGCATTTCCAGCAGCGGTGAAGGAGATTCCCTTTCTCGCCACATCCGCGCCAACACTGGTTGCTTTTGTTCTTTTGGATGTGGGCCAGTCTCTGTGGTGTGAGATGATATCTCATTATTGTTTTGATCTGCATCTCCCTGATGATTAGTGTTTTCACTGATTTTCATACTTTGCTATGTCCACATTTTTCTCTATTATTCTGTTTTGTGTTGCTCTTTGGGGGGCCACACCTGGCAGTGTTTAGGGGTTTATTCCTGGCTTTGCTCAGGGATCACTCCTGGCAAGCTTGGGGAACCATATGGGATACCAGGAATCGAACCCCCATCAATGACTGCAAGAAAAGCATCCTATCAACTGTCATAAAACTCCAGCCACCACTTTTTTTTTAGTTGAGGTAACACAGTTTTTAACAATGTTAATAATTGTGCTTTGGGCATACAAAATTATCTACTACAACCACTATACAAAACTTTCCTAAACCCTCTAATGCTATTAGAAGTAGAGTTTTTTCTTTCTTCTTCAGATTATTCATTGCTGCGGGTAGAAGTAAAATTGGCTCTTATATTTTGATGTTGTATCTTGCTAAATCTGTTTGCCAGCTTTGCTGGTTACTTGTGGATTCTTTAGGATTATGTATAAGATCATATGATCTGCAAATATCTTTTTTTACTTCTTCCTTTCTGATATTGACACTGAAGGATAACAGAATTTGTTACTCTAGAAGTCAAATTGGCCTTAGAAGTGGATTGAACCAAAGGTTCTTGAAACGTAACAGATAAAATAAAAATGTGTCATCACTAGATGTTTCTGAAAATAATAGATTAAAAATCTACTCTCCCAGAAAGAACACAGGGGATTGCCCTACCACAGAGGCAGGGGGGGGGATAGGGGGATGGGGGTGGGGGGGATATTATCCATGGTGGTAGAAAATGGGCACTGGTGGAGGGATGGGTATCTGATCATTGTATAATCAAACCCAAGCACAAAAAATTGTAAATCTACAACTGTACCTCATGGTGTTTCACTAATAAAAAAAAAAATCTACTCTCTCTGGTTGGTCAGTGTTGGTATAGTAACACTTAAAGTATAAAAATGTCGATGTTATTTACCAACAATGCACCAATAACAATAATTGATTTGGATAAAGGGAAAAAGTACTTTCCCGATACCACCATAAGAAAATAGACATTCTCTTGAGTGAGTCAAAGCCATAAGAATTCTGTATAGACACAATATTGTTAAGAACAATCCCTAACTTTCTGTCCTCTTCCTGTGTCTTCCCCCCTCCCCACATTTGCGTCTCTTTGTTGTCATTTCTTTGGCTCAGCCTCCTTACAAAGATTCCCTTATTACCCAAAATTCATGTAAATTTGCTGTATTTTCTCCTATTAATATCCCTTATTTTAGGGCTGGAGCGATAGCACAGTGGTAGAGCGTTTGCCTTGCACGCAGCCAACATGGCCGACCCGAGTTTGATTCCTCCGCCCCTCTCGGAGAGCCCGGCAAGCTACCGAGAGTATCTCGCCCGCCCGGCAGAGCCTGGCAAGCTCCCCGAGACGTATTCGATATGCCAAACACAGTAACAACAAAGTCTCCAATGGAGACGTTACTGGGCCCACTCGAGCAAATCGATGATCAACGGGAGGGCCTTTACTTTTACTTTTAGTTCTCAGGTTCAGTTCAGTCTAGAATCCCTAAGACAACAGAGATAAACGTTTACCTACCCTTCAATGCATTTTCTTCTCCTTTCCTAATTATATTGGCTTAAGCATCTAGCCCAGTTTTTTTAAAGATTAGGTTAGGGAACATCTTCATTATCTCCTAATTTTAGGGTAGAAACTTTCAATATTTTACCATTATTTATTATATTAATTGTAGGGTTTTGTTTTGTTTGTAAACACTAGCAGTTTTAGGAGGTTCCCTTCTATCTAGCATTATTTGATTATTTTTATCATTGAAAAGAACTGGATTATACCTATACTTTTTCTTCATCTGTTGAGATGACCAGTGGTTTGCTTCTTGTATTAATGTGGTATACCACGTTGATGATTTTGCATAAGTTGAGAAAACTTCCATTCCTAGCATAAGCCCAAGTTAATTATGATGCATAATCCTTTTCTATACTCCTGGCACTGACTTGCTAATATGTTGTTGAAGATTTTTTAATCTGTATTCGTAAGTGGTGCTGATTTGTATCTTTTCTTCTTTATGTGCTTTTATGTGAAAATAACACTAGAGTGATTTGGAAAGACGTATTTTCCTCTCATATTAAAAAGAATTTTTCAAGAATTTATATGGATTCTTCTTCAGATATTTGGCAAAACAGTGGAGTGAAGCCATTTAGGCTTTGCATTTAGTATATGGAAAGTATTTTTAATGATAAATCAATTTCTTTACTCGTGAGTCTACTTAGAGTTCTTTAAACTTCTTCTTGGTCAATTTCAATTTGTGTTTTACTTATAATCCTCTATAATCCTATCCTTTGTAAGGTCTGTAGTGATTTTCCTCTCATATTCCTGATTTTAGTAATGTAAAACTGTTTTCTTTCTTCCCTTTATTCAGTCTAGCCAAGAGTTTGCCAATTTTTTTTATACTTCTTAAGTGAACCAATTTGGAGTTTTATTGATTTTTTTCTGTTATTTTACTGTTCTCTATTCCATTTATTTTCCTCTAGTCTTTTAAAATTTTTCTTCCATTTGTATTTTATTTAGCTAACAATTCTTTTTCTAGTTTTGTAAGGTGAAAATGTTCATTATTTCAAAAAATAAGCATTTATAGCTATCCATCTTTCTCTAAGAACTTTTCTTTATTGCCTGGGTTCTGTTTATTTGGGATCCAGTTATCCTATTTTTGTTTTGTTTTCAGAGACTTCAAGATTTTTTTTCTTTTTTATCTTCTGATTTACTCTTTGACTGACTTGTTACTTTTGAATATATTTAATCTCCCCACAGTTGTGAGTTTTTCATATTTTTACAATATATTTTTCATTCCATTCTCTTGTGAATACTGTCTTCTTACTGAACTATACTACCCAAACAACTGTACTGAAAATTGAAAAGTGAATTCTCCTCTTCATCCCCTGTAGCACATCCAGAGTACTAATAACCATGTAATTTACCAAATAATTTTTCAAGTTTATTATTAATTTTCTGTCTTTAGTTTATAAAATAGAGCTCCCATGGAAAAGAATTTTGATTAATTTACTTAATGTATTCCAAATGCTTAGAACTGTGCTTGGTACACAGTACGTTCTGAATACCTATTTATTGAACAAATGAGTGAATGAATATGTTGACTAATAAATAGAAGTTTTAGGACATGTTTTAATGAAATATTTGAGATGCAAATACATTGGTCTCTACTCATTGTCTCACTTAAGGCTCTTTAGATCTGTAGTAGATGTAGTGTAAGAATGGACAATTTAAGTCTTGAAAACAAAGTCATAATATTTTCTGTTTTTTTTTTTTTTTGTTAGTGAAACACCATGAGGTACAGTTGTAGATTTACAATTTTTTGTGCTTGGGTTTCGATTATACAATGATCAGATACCCATCCCTCCACCAGTGCCCATTTTCCACCACCATGGATAATATCCCCCCCACCCCCATCCCCCCTTCCCCCCTGCCTCTGTGGCAGGGCAATCCCGTGTTCTCTCTCTCCTTTTGGATGTTGTGGTCTGCATTGAGTGGCAAACATGTTCAGTCCATAGTCTACTTTCGACATGCATCTCCCCTCCTGGGAGGATCCTCCAAACACCCTTTATTTGGTGCTCCCTTCTCTATCTGAGCTGCCCTTTCCTCTAGAATACCCGGCTGGCCACTAAGCTATGGAGTAATCCTCCTGGTGCTGATCTCAGCTATTCTTGGGTATTAATCTCATATTTTGTTACTTTATATCCCCCAGATGAATGCAATCTTTCTATGTCTATCCCTCTCTTTCTGACTCATTTCGCTCAGCATGATACTTTCCATGTTGTACCACTTGTATGTAAATTTCATGACTTCATCTTTTCTAACAGCTACATAGTATCCCATTGTGTAGATGTACAAAAGTTTCTTTAACCAGTCATCTGTTCTTGGGCATTCAGGTTTCTTCCAGTTTCTGGCTATTGTAAAGAGTGCTGCAATGAACAAACAAGTGCAGATGTCACTTCGACTATACATTTTTGCCTCTCTGGGATATATTCCCAGGAGTGGTATTGCTGGATCAAATGGGAGCTCAATTTCTAATTTTTTGAGAATCGTCCATACTGTTTTCCAGAAGGGCTGAACCAGTGGACATTCCCACCAACAGTGAAGGAGTGTCCCTTTCTCGCCACATCCACGCCAGCATTGGTTCCTTTTGTTCTTTTGAATGTGGGCCAGTCTCTGAGGTGTGAGATGGTATCACATTGTGGTTTTGATCTGCATCTCCCTGAAAAATCATAATATTTTCTTTAAAGTAAGTAAGTGACTGCTGATTTGGAGAACAAAGACAGTATCAATTTATCCCACCAAATAAACTACACACACACACACAGACACTCACACACACACAGCGTATTTTATCATTTTACTATTTTGGTATACTTTTCACTCACCTTTCTGCGACCTCCATTATTTTATTGCTTTCACTTCATCTTAATTAGTAAGCATGGGAAGTACTCATATTTAAACCCCATTTTAAAATATTTGGTGTGAACCGGCTTTTTCTGCTAGCACCTCAAAAAATCTACCAACACGGGTAGATTTTCCTTTTTGTTCTTCTCTTATTAAACATCCTTTCACAAAACATTGGATGTAAATGACGCTTTTCTGTCAGCACAAGTCATTGTGAGGACTCTGACACAATCATACCAATTTACACAGCAAGTACAAATCACAACTATTTATTGTCAGGAAGGCAATTTCCCTTCCTAGCCACTTCCTTCTTGCTCATCTTTCCCTTCCTCAGACCCACCCTCTCTCTGGAACACCTCTCACAGAGAAAAAGTTCAGGTCCTGATGAATTATAGGCGTTAAAATGACCCTGACTGGATCACTGGCACCATCAACTCTGCTGTAGTGCGATCTTGAGGGTATAATTCTCTGCGATCGGTGAAATTGCTAGGGAAGGAGAAAAATGCTGTCAACGGCATTTGCCATCCCATTTCCTCACAGTCGTCCAATTGAGCCACTGCCTCGTGAGGGGCAATTGAGTGCGGTGAGAGTGAATGCAGCACAGAGAATTGCCTGGTTCCTGCTGAGATCCGTCATTTTGGAATGCGGGGGTTCGGAAAGCTACTTGCTACCAACATCCCAAAGATCAAAACTGGTGCTGGATCTGTCAGCATCGGTGAACTGAGTGAAAGCAGACAGGTCTAAAAGTATAGGAAGCAAAGCATTTTTTCCTAAAAAATTAGGAAGCATTCGTAGTTCTGTAAGTATATTAGATGTATGTGTTGTAGTTAATATTTTGATTTTTGTTTGTTTGGGGGGGGGACACACCCTGCAGTGCTCAGATTACTTCTGGCTTTGTTCTCAGAAACTACTCCTAGTGTTGCTTGGGGGACCATATAGGATAACCGGGATCTAACCCCAGGTCAGTTATTTGCATGCAAGGCAAGTGCACTACCCACTGTGCTATCTTTCTTGCCCCTATTGTTAGTATTTTGAGTGTAAGTAAGTCATATACTCATTACATGTGCGATTATGTCTATTAAATCTCATGTTCCACGCACTTTGCTTTGGGAAAGAAGAATTTGATCATTTCTAGAATAAAATACATTAAAGAGAAATTTAAATTTAGAATTCCGCATGAAGTTGTTGACGAGTCTTACAAGTCATGAAGAAAAGTTTGTGTGGATTTCAGTAGTAGACAAAATTTTATAGAAAGAAGCCAACTTGTCAGTCACGTTGACCTAGGTTTTAAACAACAGCTTTTCAATTTAACCTATCAGAACAATGATTTCTTAATTTATTTATTATCTTGCTCTTTAGAGACTAAATTGAATGTCAGTCTGTGATTGGGGAAGTGTTGGTGTGTGATATAAGATCGAGAAATTTTACCAATGACTTCAGGCATGTGGCAGTCGTGCTGGATAGCCCCGGGTCTTTTATTTCTTATTTATTTATTTATTTTGCTTTTTTATTGGGTGGAGCGAAAGCACAGGTAGGGCGTTTGCCTTGTGCGCAGCTGGCCCGGCCCAGCCAGGTTCAATTCTTCCACCCCGCTCGGAGAGCCCGGCAAGCAACAGAGAGTATCTCGCCCGCACGGCAAAGCCTGGCAAGCTCCCGGTGACATATTCAATATGCCAAACACAGTAACAAGTGTCACAAAGGAGATGTTACTGGGCCCGCTTGAGAAAATCGAAGAAAAATGGGAGGACAGTGCTACAGTACTTTTTTTATTAACCTGGCAATGCACAGGGGTTACTCCTGGCTCTGCACTCAGGAATTACTCCTGGTGGCGCTCGGGGACCATCAAAGCCAGGCCGGCTGTGTGCAAGGCAAACACCCGACCCACTGTGCTATCGCTCCAGCCCCAAACATAGGTCTTTTAAAAATTGATTTATCAGCTGTTTACAATATTGTGGAATTTGGGGGCTTAGTTTCATACCACCTTGTATATATAAGATTCTCCACTTCTACTACTGAAGTTCCAGGGTTGTATCAAAAGGCTCATTCTTCCCAACACCATGGACATACCTTCCCTCTGGTAGACTCCATTTGTTTCATCATAAGAATAGTTGTGTACATAATGGCCCAGTATAGAAATTATACATGAAGGTCAAAATGATAGTATGGAACTGTGCATGCAGAGAGATAAACCTAATGTAGCCGACGTGTCTCACGCTTGTGTGTGTAGGTAAATTATACCTACCCACACTTGTTCAGCAGACACTTAGGTTTCAGGGATACTAGAAATCTGTTCAGAGAAGCTTGGTAAAATAACGCCCTACTATTTGAAAGAGCAAGGATTCTCTGTGAAAAATTCATCTATCTAATACCACAATTTTTTCCAAATGTTTACTGTAGGCAATGACAAAACGATGGAAGGACAAGCTTACTATTACCTGGGCTTAGCGCACTCAGCTGCTGGGGAGTTCGAGACCTCGCTGCAGGTAAATTGAAGGAAATGGTTAATCACTTAATCACTTAATCCCCGTTATTCATCGATTTACTCGAGCGGGTGCCAGTAACGTCTCCATTCATCCCGGTTGCATGCTAGCGTAGCCCAATGGTATCTGTTCGTTCTAGGAACATGCAGAGCCTCAAACCGATCATTCAAGGTCTTGACGAAGAAGTCTGACCATCTTGTAGGTGGGCGTCCACGTGATCTTTTGATGTCCCGTGGAATCCAATCAGTAATGGCTCTAGTCCAGTGGTTGTCTGTAAACCTCATTACGTGTCCAGCCCATCTGATTTTTGATGTCTTGGCAAATGAGACAGTGTCCCTGATTCTTGAGCGTTGACGAAGATCAGAACTCCGGATTCTATCCCTCATTTGAGTGAATCGTGATATTCCAAGCATAGCTCTTTCGATTCCTCTTTGAGAGACCCGAATAGCGTTTTCATCCTGTTTTCGTAGGGTCCAGGTCTCTGAGGCATATGTTAATGCAGGAAGAACAGTGGAATCAAAGAGATGTGCTCGTAGCTGGAGGTTCTTTGTCCTTTTAGTTATTTCTTCAACGCTCTTGAAGGCATTCCAAGCCGCTCTCTTCCTCCTGCGCAACTCAGGTGCCAGGTCATTTATCATGTTGATTTCTCGACCTAGGTATATATAACTATTGCATTCGGAGATGGTGGTTCCGGTGAGAGCGAATGGAGCGTCAGGAACAAGGCTGTTTCTCATAAACATTGTCTTCGTAAGATTCAGCTGTAGTCCGACCTTTCCACATTCACGGTCAAAGTCGTTCAGCATTTGTGCCGCTTGGCTAATGTTTGGTGTTATTAGAATGATCATGCGACGACTGGAATGGGAAAGCATGGGAGTGAAGATAGATGGTCGGAAATGGTTAATTGCCATTTTTAATTTTAACTCTTACCCCTGTTAATTTTATTGTGCTTTATTATAAGACCAACAGGAATGGGGCAGACCTGATATCTGTATATCTATTTGTAGGGACTTAAGCAGAATAGAAATATTCCAGGGGCATAAAAATTGCTTTTATTGGGCCAAAGAAAATACAATGGGTAAGGTACTTGCCTTGCACGCGTCCAACCAGGGTTTCATCCTCAGCATCCCATATGGTCCCCTGAGCCTGCAAGGAGTAATTCCTGAGAATAGAGCCAGAAGTAAGCCCCGAGCAGTGCCAGGTGTCACCCCCCAAAAAAAAACAAGTGAAAGAACTGGTTTTATTGTTTATCAGATCATCAGTGTTTCCAACCAGTTTGTGAAGAGCTGTGGTCCCATTCTGATCTTTTTTCTTTCCTGTGGCCTCTCTGTCCTACCATTAGGCCCCCTCGTCTGGTCCCAATAAGTGTAATTTTCATGTGTGACCCCTTAGACTAGCCTAAAGTCTCATAGGGGGTCATATGGGGCCTGAAGACCAGTGGTCCAGGAGAAATGGAAGATATAAAGGAGATAACTCAGAACTCTGTGCTTTTAGATCACCAAGGACAAGAGGAAATGGGGTTAAATGACAAAAAAAAATGTAACAAAAAATATAGCAAATTTATAATATGTCATGGAAGAGTTTGCTTAGAGTGTAGTTCTTAAGCAGTAGAGTGTTTGGTGGTTCTGGGAAATGGGTGAGTGGAAAATTCTTAATCCCAACATGAGAAGTTGCTCAAGCAAAGTTTTCCGCTTTATAATAAAATTTAAGTTTTTGCCTCTTTTATGAGCATATTGGTTCACTTGGCTGAAAATAAAATAAAAAGCCCAATTCTGCCTTTTCTCTATTCTAACTGAAATTGTTTTATTTTGACTCTTTTCTTACTTCTTTGCTTTCTATTTCATTGCAGTCAGAGACTCCCTAAACTTATGTGGTCTACCACCTTTTAAAAATACACTCTGTGGATAGCAATATGGAGATTTCTTTAAAAACAGGAATAGAATCCCTATATCCAGTAATACGACTCCTTGGCGTCTATTCCCAAAACACACAAAACATTAAATCAAAAGGATATATGCACATCTGTGTTCATCACTGCACTTGGTATAGAAGCCAAGATATGGAAACAACCCAAATGCTCAACTACAGATGAATATATTAAGAAACTCTGGTATATGTACACGATGGAATACTATGCAACTCTAAAAAAGCACAAATCATACAATTAGCAACAACTTGAATGGAACTAGAGGATATCATGCGGAGTTAGGTCAGTCAAAATGAAAGGGACAGTTACAGAATGATCTTTATCATATGTGGCCCTTAAAGATATACAGGAAAGTAGCAACAGTGATCTAAAGGCAACATAACAGGGGAACTGACCCACACAGTTCAGTCAGAGGAAGTGATGTGAGGGAGGAGGCTGATTTCCTTTGGGAAGAAAACAGGTAGACTGGTGATGAGTGTGGTGTTGGAATTGTATCCAAGAGAAATCATCTTTAGTATTATTATAAAAGAAAAAAATTTAAATATATCATATCAAATTTTAAAAGGAAAAGGAAAAAAATCACTCAGCAACCATGCCCCTATCCCAAGACCAGAAAATTTGTCTTTCTTAAGTCAAGGATAGAAGTCTTCTACTTGAACCCAAGGCTATTACTACACACCGGATTATTCCAACACCATCATGGGGAACAATATCACCCACTTTCAAAAGGTTGCTTATAATAATCCTATTTGACAGATAGTATTGGTTTAGTTTTCAGTCTTGAACATCTCTTATCTACTCTTTTATGTATTCATGCTAATAGAGGTTCTGTATTAAGGCTGAACACTTTTCTCTACCACCCTTAATAGATTATCACCTCTATCACACTATTTAATCACCCTATTTTTGATAATCCCAAAACAGGTCTTTTTGTATTGTCAAAAAGATCTTAGGTTTTCTAAAATGACTCTCATGTTCAGTATTTTTTACCTTTTTATATGCACTTAGCAAAACTAAATTGCAGGTGTTGTTTAGGGGAAACACAGAGGCCAAAATGATACATTCTTCCTTTGAGGAGCTCAGTTAATGAGCGTGATCAACTTGAGGCATAACTTTAATTCAAGACAGAGTAGATAGGGGTTTTCTGGGTGTAGATGAAAGAGTAGTTGGTTCTACAATAAAGATCTGGAGAATTGAACAGAAAAGTGAAGAGAGTTTTGGGGGTTTCTTGAGGGTGGGGATCTTTGTTTTTGCTTTTGGTGGCAGCATACCTGGTAATACTTAGCAGCAATTTCTGAGTCAGTTCTCAAGAATTGGTCCCAGTGGAGCTCAGGGGGCCACATGGTTCTGGGAATTGAACCTGGGGCTCTTACATGCCAAGCTTGTGCCTCAGTCCTTTGAACCACTTCCCCAGACCAGAACAAAAGTTTTTTTGAGGGACAGGATTTCTGAAGCAGAGAGCTGGAGAGTTGAACACGATAAACTATTAGACACTCATATTTGGCAAGAATTCGGTGTGTTTGTGAAACAATGAATTGTTATGTGTACAATAAGATGCAGAACAAGAGTGACTTGTAAAATTAGATGAAAACCAGCTGTTTAGAGATTCTTTCTTTCTCTTTGTTGTTAATAGGAAATGTAAGTACATGGCCAAAGAAATTCAAACAAATAATAGAGTTTACGGTGAAAAACGGTCTTTCTACCAGGGCAGAGGTTTGTGGAGAGCAGGGAATGTGTCTCAGGCTGTGGCTCATTGCTGCCCCATCAAGAACCTAAGGTCAGCCTCAGAGTCTGCTTCTTGCTTGGCAGAATGTTGTCGCCCCTTTGGAACCCAGCTCAGCAGAAAGGAGAATGTGCAGGAGCCTAGCATCATGTTTGGGCCAAATCCCTGGTAGAGCTGGAGGCCAGTGGGAGGTCTGTGGTGTGGTCTGGAGACAAGATGCCAAGAGCAAAGAGAAGCATTTCAACTATGACACAGGGGGGACAGGGAGCAGCGCAAGGACACAGGGGCTGAGAAGTTGGGGCTGACGTGTCTGGGTGGAGGCAGGGATGGGGGATGAGAAGAAGCATCTCGTTCGGGGTAAGTGGTCTTTCGCTTGGCCAGCTGGGAAACTGCCCCTTTTCTTCCCTTGCACTCATCAGTGCTTCTTAAACATTTTCTACTTGCAACCTCTTTTCACCAGAGGAATTTTTTTTCTTTATTTTTTTATTTTTCTTTTTGCTTTTTGGGTCACACCCAGCAATGCTCAGGGGCTACTCCTGGCTCTGCACTCAGGAATTACTCCTGGCAGTACTTGGGGGACCATATTGGGATGCAGGGGATCGAACCCAGGTTAACTGCATGCAAAGCAAATGCCCTACCCCGCTGTACTATCACTCTGGCCACACCAGAAGATTTTTCAAATGATGCCATATTTTATATAAATTAGGTATACAAATCAGTTTTGCTGATGATGAATCATAAATTTTAGAACAAATTTATCATTTAGTCTTACCTCCTCCGCCGTTCAGTTACAAAGGTCCCTAGGGTGACCCTCTGTTTAAGAAGCTTGGAAATAGTTTATCAAAAAAACCTGATCTCTTGCTTTGAGTTTTCATCAAATATTTTTTTTATTCTCCCTAGCACCTTACTTTAGCCATTCCCTTGCTTCCTTTACAAGCAACAGGCCCTTTTTTCCCTTTTTTTTTTTTTTTTTTTGCATCTCTCTTTAGTTGTTTCTGGACTGGAAGACAGTCTTGTTACATATGTGCTCTCTTATCTGTTGGCAAATCACATCCTGTCTTCCTATCTTCATGCCCTACCTGAAGATAATATTGTTTCTAATTTATACAATGTCTATTAGAAATTCATAACCAGTTAAAGCACCCCATAATGTGTGGCTATTTTAATTTTAAAAGCTCACATGATTAGTTAGTGAGTAGGATTGATTGTGTGATTCATTAGGTAAAGGACCAGTTTTCTGATCACAAAGTGAAAAATGTCCACACAAAGGGCTGAGGAGATTGCACAAACGGCTAGAACTCACCCTCTTCATGCTCGAGTCCTGGGTTCAGTTCTCAGCACTGCATATTCCCCCAA